GGCTTGTTGCTGGCAGCAGGGGCACGCGTGCCTTGGGGCAGGTGGCGGGGAAGGGACCAGGGCTGCTCTGCCACAACAAGCATTGGGCTCCTTGCGGCTCCCGCACCATCTGCCCAAAGGCATACATGCCAAGCAAATACGCTTTGGCACGTGTGCCAGGGGTTGCCTACCCCTGCGCTCTTCATCCGTGTGTTGGGGAGCTCTTCATCCCTGAGGGGCTGGAGCCATGTCCAGCTCTTAGTGGGATGCAGTCTGGCAAGAAAGGAAATGATTTATTTTTTCTTTTGTCTCATTTAAAGTCCCTCAATTAAAACAGCTGCAACCTCTGCTTTGAACGCAGGCAGTTGGTTAGATCTGCTCTATTCTTTCTTTCTTTGTAAGTAGCACAACGTGGCTTAAAGGGCTTCTAGAAGCAGCCACGTGCAAAGGTCCCTATTGTGCAAGGCACTGTAAAGCCCCGCTGCCCCTGTGCCCGACTTTTGAATCAAACCTTCGCTATTTTATTTCAATTTTAGTTGGAGTCGTAGAAGCGTGGAGAGGTAGGGCTCGGAGGGACCTCCAAGGTCATCTAGCCCACGTGTAAATTGCAGAACAGCTGCTTGAAGAATGGAGTTTGTTCCTTTCTTGCCCACTGTCATTTTCTTTTCTCTTTTCATACTTTTATTTTCAGCTTCAGGGAACCTGTTCCTTCATATTAGTCAATTTTTTGTCATCAACCAGCTCAGCAATATCAGCTAGAACAGAATACAGAAGGTTAAAGAAAATAATAGATTGTCACCAATATTTACCTTGTTAAAATGCTCTTGCAATATATATTTGTCCTTTCTCCTTTTTTTCCTTATGCTTTACAGTGCCTTGCACAATGGGGTCCTTTTTACGCGCCTGCTTCTAGAAGCCCTTTCAAGCCCTTGTCCCTTCTCCTACTCTTTGATGAGAGTAAGTGGGTGCTGCTGATAATGTGAGTAGCTTGAACTGGAGTAGTTTGAATTTTGGAGCCCAGGTGTTCTCTGGACGGATATCCAAATGACTGCTTTCACAAAAGACACTTGTGAAGCCTGCAGGCTCCGGAAGGTTAATCTTTGAACTTTAGTCTCCTCAACACCTCCTCTACCCAAACCCAAAGTAGTGGTAGTAGAGAGTGCTGACAAAATTCACAGCACTAGCTGGTGTGAATAGTACAGTTCTGGATCACATACCCTTTGAAAACCTGCATTTTACCAGTTTTAGTTTAGATGTAAACTTCTGTTTTCTGCTGAATGCTTACATTTTTCTTTGCCCTGCAATCATCCATAAGCAGTATAGGTAATCCCACCATAGTTTCTCTGTACCATCTACAAAGCAAAGATTCCTGTTATTTTAGGTAGGAAATAGCAATTTACATTTCAGGGTCAGATTCTGATACCTTTGCTTATATCCAGGCTCAATTCATCATTGCCAAGCATGTTGCTTACAAGTTTGCATCAGTGGAAAGCAGGTGTCAGATGCTGCCAGATCAGAACAGTAGTGTTCTGAGCTCATTTC